TCTGAAAAGCAATGGAAAAAAATATCCTCAGTTGAAGATTAACAAAAAAGAAAGAAATAGCCCTAGAAACCAGAGTTCATGTGAAAAATTCACATCAAAAGAAAGAACGCCTCCATATGGGAAGAAAAGGGGCACATTTGTAAGTATTTCCGAAGTCGACCCCCATCACAAGCACTGTTTTTCTGCACATCTGGCTTTGAAGAAAGCGGCGTACAGAAAGCACCCGGCAGTGAGGTGGTATTTTATCCTCGGAAGGGCGTATTTCCTTCTCCTACTGAGACCTTGAGCAATATAACTAACATTGAAACTAAAAAGTAGCACCAACAGGAGCCACAGAAACTGCACAGAAAGTTGTAAGAAAAATACCGAAATATCACAGGAGGCCTTCCGTTCTTGTGTTTCACAAAGATGCCCTCCAGACAGGCTCCGATGGAAATGTCGCTGCCCTGGCTGTCCTGGAAGGAGAAGGACACACTCAGGTGGCAGGTGCACAGCAGCCACAACTGCACCCCGTTCCCTGAACCTGTTTCCCAGACGTGAAAAGCTCGGAAGACTCACAGGATAACTATTCTGAAGGGGGAAAGTCTGAAAGGTATGAATGTGTCATCTTGTAAGCATATGTGGATATAAGAAGAGATGGACCCCTTAAGGAACTCTCTCTCAAGAGCATTCAGAGAGCCCTAGCTGGTTTGGCTCAAAGGATAGAGCGTCAGCCTGTGGACTGAAGGGTCCCAGGTTCGATTCCGGCCAAGGGCATATGCCTGGGTTGCTGGCTCGATCCCCAGTAGGGGGTGTGCAGGAGGCAGCCAATCAATGATTCTCTCTCAGCATTGATATTTCTATCTCTCTCTCCCTCTCCCTTCCTCTCTAAAATCAATAAAATATATTTTTTTTAAAAAAGAGCATTCAGAGAACGGCATATCAGGACTATGTTTGCTGCATCACCTTGGCCACAAGGACCTCAGCTTTGAAATGTCCAGAACTTTGCACAATGTCGGCCTTCGCACAGCAGGCCACCCTGGGCTTTCCCTGTAATCCTCCATCCTCCGGGAATCGCTGAGACTAATTTTGGAGCAACCCCGGCCTCCGCGTCCCACTTACCTTCGCAGGGTAGCTCTCTTCTCCGTAGCCTTCCATCCTCTCCACCTCCTGCATGTACAGCATTTCCGCCTCAGGAGCTGAGAGCCCTCTGCAACCCAAACGATGTCAGTGAGATTAGCCACAAAACTAAAAACAAACAAACAAAACCACGGAGCTTTTCTAAAACACTACATATGGATTTGGCCTAAAACAGTATAAACATTTCAAGTTTCTAAGCATCTGCCATCGGTTATATCAACCCAATATTTACTGAAAATGGGCTACATGCAAAGCACCATGCGGCACGCTGAGGTTAGTTATGGAAGATCTTCTCCCTGCGCTTCAGACAGGCGAGGGGAACGCAGGGAATAAGACAACCCCTGGAACATCTTGGGGAAAAGCTAGGATTCTTTCCAAACCACTGAGTAACTGCTTACTATCCAAACTACCAGGGGATACTAAGCATCACGTGCCCAATGCCAAATGATAAAAGTGCGGAAAGTAAGAGTTAGGAGGACGGAAATCCTTTTTAGCTCCAGTGACACAATTACAAGGATGGGTAGGTAGGAAGGGGGTGTGGGCAGAGACAGGGCTCAGCTGCATGGGAACTTGCCTCTCCAGCCTCATCTTCGCTGCTCCCCCACACCCACAGGGCACCCCACAGCTCAGTCATCCCAAACTCTGCCTTTCTGTGAATACACCACGTTCCCTCAGGCCCTGGGCCTTTGCACACACTGATCCCTCTTCCTAGTATACCTGTCACTCACCTGTGCACCTCTCCTTTAAGACTTGGCCTCTGTACCCATCACTCCTCCTCTGTCACCTGCTGTGATCCCCGAGTCTAGGTCAGACATCCCCACTCTACACAAACCCACCACATTCTGTGCACATTTCCCACTGCTCCCATATTCCATTCTGACTATTCTAACTGCCTGCTCAGTGGGTTGTCCTGCCTACCCCTGAAAGGCAGGAAACGCATCCTCTGATGGCAGGGGACTGTTCAACTTATCTCCGTGCCACTCCGTCTTTAAGGAGACGCACAAATGAATGACTGAAAGTAACAAAAGACAAGGCGATGTAGGCCTGGGGGATTAATTGTGCTTGGGGGGCGGGGGAGAGGGGAAACATGGCTCATTTCAGGGGGCAGAAGGTAAAGCTGGAAAGGCAGGATTTAACCAATTCATAGGAGGTCTTTAATCCCAGGGGCAATGAACTCAGGCTAGTGAAGAGCAAGAACAAATTCATGAGCATCTGAGAAGGGGGCTGGGGGGGAAGAAGAGAGAGGAAAGTGATGTTTTCGGAAGATTAATCCTTTGTGAGCCATTGTGTGGATTTGAGTGAGGAGAGACTAAAGGTTATTTTTAAGGGGGGGGGGGAGGGAATGAACAATAGGTTATAATTAGACAGACCTGGGTCCAAATCCCACCTCTACCTCATGTAACTTTGGGCAAGTTATTTAGTCTTTCTGAGCTTGGCTTCCCCAATCTGTAAGGAGATAATAACACTGACTTAAAGCGTGGTTATAAGAATGTAATGATACATCACATACTTGGAACGGTGCATCTGGTTTAGAATGGAGACCTAGCATTCTCCAGGTGAGGGTTTTTCTTACAACAACGCGTACAGATTCGCTATCCAAGAAAGTCAATGTCTACCCGGGACGGTAGGTCAGGGCAGTAAGCACCGTAGCTCTTAGCACAGCTTTCCCGGAGGACAGAGATACAGCTTCCAAAGGTGCAGAGGAGAAAACCCTGTACCTGCTGCGTCGCATATGAAAAGAAGCCCCTCCAACCCTGAACTGACCTACACAGGGCTCGGTTAGCACCAAACCTTTCATACTCGGGGTGGAGGCTGGGCACCCTTTCAACGTTCTCAGCCTGCTCGTGGGGACAACATGGATAATAGATGAGGTAATATGGTAAGTGCTTGGACCAGCACGCGGCACAGTGAGTGCTATGAAAATGCGGGGACTCTCAGGAGGGGCAGCGGTTGCAGCAGCAGCAGCAGCAGCAGCAGCGTTAAGTGCCGAATTTCACTGTGTCAACGCACATTCCAAGTTCAAACAGACACTGGCTCCATACCCTTCCCCTGTCTTATTTTCTCAGCGTTACCTGTACTTCTGATGCAGTAAGGCCACTTTTTGGGTTGCTTCTTCCAATACCTTTTCATCCTGTAGCCAGCCCTGAAGAAAACACACGGCAGTAAGTATGTACACAAGTCACCCCGATTTCCCAGGAAGATTCGTTGCTGCTGACTCTACCCAACTCTCGTCGCCATCAGGCAGAAGCGGGGCTGGTAGGAGTGCGAGGGAACTTGGCTTCAGCACGTCATCATGGTCTCCCTAAGGAATTGAGTGGCTTCTGGTCAGAAGCCAAACACCTGCCCTGCCTTTTCCATTCAACCTCAGAGGAAGTTCCCACTGGGCTATGTCCGGTGGTAACATCCATGGGCAGTTGCCATATGGGCACTATGACACCTGTGCCCTCCCACTGGCCGTGAAGACGCTCAGAAGAGCATCCCTCCCCGGGTGGCTCCAGGGCAGTTTTCCTGCCAAGGGGACCAGTAGTGACCGTAACAGAGTAGAAGGCAGTGTCCTCCCATCATCTACTTTTTAAACTGCTGATGAGAAGCCGAATTTATTTCCACGTAATTTTGTGAGGTCTCAAGCCTTCGGTTAAAAGCAAAACCTCTTGTGGCTCCTCAGAAGCGGGAAAGGAGTAAGACAAATGTCTCTGGTGACAGCCCGGTGACTGCAGACCCTCCCGTGTCCGTGGCTTTACCACAACCAAGAAAGGTGTTACAGGAAAAAAACGTATACTTGAGTGTTTATCAGAGGGAACCGATTTTTCAATACTATTCCTGACTGTACAGGGCCCCTGGGAAGGCACATGGGCATTTCTTTAATAAATTGTCAGCCGAATCCAGGGCAGTAGGCAGAGCCATGTCCTGGATACGCATTTTGCCAAAAAGGCAGAAGTGTTCTCAGCTTGACCTTCATTTTGCCCAGGTGCCTGGGAGTGGGTTTATTACGTAAATCCAGCCAAGCACCAGGAATGAAGGGCCCACCCAGAACTGACCCTACGAGAATGCAAATAAGCTCCTTTGTCTTGACCTTTGGTGAAACTTCTGGTATTTTGCAGGTATATAAAATAAACATGCTGTTTTGGTGCTGGGTCCCTGTCTCTCCATCAGAAGAGGACAGCGGTCCCACCCAGTCCCAGCTTTTTTCTTCCATCTTTGTGTTCTGTCTCTTTCATATTCTCAATCCCCAGCCGCCCCTACTCAAAGAACCGGACCATTCTCAAGCCGTGCTGGACGCGGAAAAGAGAGACCCCTCCATATCTGACTTCATTTCAGGGAGTATTAAGGGCATGGAAATAAACTGGTTATACAAAGGCCCAATGTCAAAAGGAGTCTTGCCCTAACCGGTTTGGCTCAGTGGATAGAGCGTCAGCCTGCGGACTCAAGGGTCCCAGGTTCGATTCCGGCCAAGGGCAGGTACCTTGGATGCATGCTCAACTATACCTTATATGTCGTATGTAGATGGTGTGCTTATGATTCAGAAGTCAAATTTGCATTATAGCTATAAAGTGTATATTTTAAAAATATCGTTCTTAAAGGATTAGTGAGGTGGACCCATGTGTCTTGACTTGAAAAATGCCTATTAATAAAGTGAAAAATAAATTACAAACTGTATGTAATGTGATCTCATCTTTATAATTAAAAGACAAAACTGCCCTATAATCATCTGGGCTTACTTATGCACAGAAAAATGTCAGGAAGAAACCAAAGTGTTCACAGTAGTGATTATTCCTCTCGAGAATGGAATCAGATCATCTGAATATATTACAGCAAGATGTATTGGTTTAGAAAGTTTTAGCTGTTAAAAATAAATCGATAGTTTGGCAAACAGTTCATGAAAAACCAGCTCTTAAAGCCAAGGATGACATGTGGGAAGAGTCAAAGGACTTTGAAAAGGAATGTGGTTTCATGTGACAGGCAATTGTCTAAAAATGATAAAGGTCTCCATGCCTGCTAATATCTGAAATTAGCTGTTAAAAATAAATCGATAGTTTGGCAAAAAGTTCATGAAAAACCAGCTCTTAAAGCCAAAGATGACATGTAGGAAGAGTCAAAGGACCCTGAAAAGGAATGTGGTTTCCATGTGACAGGTAATTGTTTGTCTAGAAATGATAAAGGTCTCCACGCCTGCTAATATCTGAAGAATTTTATTAATAATTCTTCTGACTAAATTTCAATTCCTAAGATTAAATGCCAGTTATCCTATGAAACAATGCCCCACCAGAAGTCTTCCCAAGGTATATGTATATCCGTGTAAATACTTATCAGTTGGGCACAGGAAAAAATGACAGAATTAAACAATCCCAAAAACTACCCGTGAAAGGCAAACTTGATCTGTTATGACTGACAATGCTCTGTAATCCAGGAACACTGTTGAGGAAACCAAACAAGTGACGAATGCCTAAAGTAGAAGTGATCATAACCTTATCAACCTCACTGTTGGCTGATCTTTCTTCCTAAAATATTAGCTAGTAGCAAAGCAAGAGAAACACATAGCACGCAAATGCTCTCTGTGTGTATATTTTTCCTCTGTTTCTCTGTTGACATATGAGAACATGTTTATCCTTCCAGAAGTCTCTTTTCATTAGAGAATCCAAATTCATTCTTCCCACAAGGAAGCCCCTTCGGTAACAGAGTAACATTTCACCAACATATTTACACTACTATAGAAAGTCTGTTACTTTAAGAATTCCTGGCTGTTTTTGTTATAACAGTTTTAATCTGATAGGTCAGGTACAGTATCAGGTGTCATCATTTACCTTGAACAGCCAAGCCTGCTAGTTGAATTGCTTGTTCTAATGTACACGGAATGTTTCCTTCCAAGATATCTTTCTTCAGCTGCAGATAATACTGATACCTACAAAAAGCGGGGACACACTCCTAGCCCAGTGGACACAACGTGGGCGTCCTCTGCGCATGAGGTGCAGAGGAAACACCTTTCCTTTTCTTCTTTTTAAAAATATATTTTATTGATTTTTTTACAGAGAAGAGGGGAGAGGGATAAACAATTGGAAACATCGATGAGAGAGAAACATTGATCAGCTGCCTCCTGCACACTCCCCACTGAGGATATGCCCGCAACCAAGGTACATGCCCTTGACCAGAATCGAACCTGGGACCCTTGAGTCCGCAGGCCGACGCTCTATCCACTGAGCCAAACCGGTTAGGGCAAAAATGTCAATTTTAAAAAGTTAACAACAACATTAGCTCCAATTGAGACAAAGCATTTTACCATAATTTATTAGAGAAGCATAAACTAATCAACTGAAACCTTAAGCCGATGGTTTCAAAAAAAGACAAGAACATCCTTGACCATACCTACACACACACACACACACACACACACAATGTAATCAATTTATTCAGTTATTTCTCCTTAACTGCAGTCATTTCAAAGCTATAACCATGTAGAAGACAACTGGTCATCTATCTTATGCCCCATAAGACAGTCCCTACATATTGTCCTTGTTAGTTGGAGAGAGACGCCATAGGCAATCTTTACTTTAAAAACTCTGCCTCGTAACTTGGTAACATAAGACTTTGCTTACTCTGGTGGAAGTTCCCTAGCCCTGGAAGATAAACCCAGAAGAAAGCGATTCCTGATATTTCAGACCAAGTTTATATTGAAATTTTTTTGGATGAAATCCCTAAAAGCATAGCTGCTATAAAGCTTTCTTAATATTCTTGTAAAATGAGTTTACTTATTATTACACTTTCAATATTCGGGGCACAGGTTACCAGCCAAGCTTTAGTCACGCAGACCTAGGTTGCATTCCAGCTCTCCAATCAAGCATTCTGCAGGAATCTGAGCAAGTCGTAATCTATGGGTTAAACTGTCACTGGCAAAATGGGAATGCTATCATCCCTTCACAAGGTGGAATGTATTCAAGGAATATAGTTTAGAGCTTTTAGCACAATACTAGAACATAGCTGGCACTCAAGAAACCGTAACTATTATGATTGTTATCAGCAATCATCTACTTGAAGCCAGTCACCAATAGTTCATGTTATCACTTCTCCATTTTGGTAAAGCCCTACAGTGCAGATTTATTCTGCCTCCCATTCACTTACCCCCTTTCACCGGGGATTACTGGTCCCTACTCTGCATCAAGCGCTGTTCTAGATGCTGGGGACATGATGTGAAATGAAGATCCACCAACTCTCTGCCAATACGGTCCAGAGAAATAATGCCTTGATAAAATGTAGCCTGCAAACCTGAATTCAGAACTGTTTAAACCAAGGAATGAAAAAGACTGCACACGTTAATTCTAAAGCAAGCATTCCATATACTTGCCCAAAAGCCAAATATGCTGATTAAACAAAAATATTACCTACAGCCTTATCAACTTGTTAATTTTCTAATATAAAGTATTTTTACACAAAAATATTACATTAATACCTCATGATCTCACTCATTTATGGATAATAAAGAACATTATAAACTGATGAACAAAAATAGACACAGAGGCAGAGAAGCATCAAACAGTCAAACTACAGCGGGAACAAGGGAGGGTTGGAGGGGGGAGTAAGAGATCAACCAAAGGACTTGTAGAAGGCCGGGGGGAGGTCAGTGGGGGAGCGGGGAGACATATGTACTACTATTTGTAATACCTTAAAAAATAAAATTAAATTAAAAAAATATATATTTTACATTAAATAATTATAATAGATTAGGTGCCTCATTTTGCACAACAGAAATTTTAAATAATGTGCAGCAGGTAGTTTTCACCTGTTTTTCTTAGGTTAGTAATAGAAGGCTAATGTACAGACATTTTTATTTTTATATATTTGTTTTATTATAGAAATTCTGAAAGATATACAGACAATAAGTACGAAAACTCCCATAGCCTTAGCATGCAGCCTCACCAATCGCCAACTTTATGCCTGCCATGTCTCCTCAATGCTCTCCCCTCCCTGACTCCCAGTGTTTTACAGCAAATCCCAGATGTATCATAGCAACTACAAATACCTCAGTATATATCCCTAAAGGTCAGCTTACACACACACACACACACACACACACACATACTTTTAACATATCCAACAAAATAAATGACTAAAATGCCTTAACACTATCCAATACCCAGTCATGTACAATTCTTGTGACTGCGTCAACAGTCTTTTTACAGTTGCTGTTTTTTAAATCAGGATCCCAACAAACTACAAATTACATTTGATTATTTCTAAATTTCTCTTAATTTTAGAAAAAAAAAATGCCTCCTCTTTATTTTCATGTTACTTATAGACAAAATGATGTGGTTTATCGTGTAGAGTTTTCCACATTCTGGGTTTGCCTGATTGTACTCTCATGGGGACATGTGATGTGTTCATCCCTTCTCCTGTGAACTAACTGCTAGACGGAGAGAGCAGTGTTGTCTAACTGAACTTTCTGCAGGGTGCAATGGTATATATCTGTGCTGCCAGAGGGCAGCCATTAGCCACACTTACAATGTGGCGAGTGTGGCTGAGGAGTGGGAAAAGCCCCTTAGAGCAGCATGACTTGCTGAGAGGAGAGCCGGGTTTACACTTCTGCTCCCTGGAAGGTGAATACAACAGTGAGGTGGTCTCCAGGATCCTTTGGCTCTGAGGTTACGTAGTGAATGGAAAGAACACGAACACACTGAGGATGGTGGAACAGTAAGAGACAGAGCATGGGCCCTTGAAGGCTGGTCCTAGAAGCTCTGCAGGGCTGACCTCCAGACTTCCTTCATGGGAGAAGTCAAAGGTATTAAGGGCTTTTGTTATATATAGCCATACCTAATCCTTACTGATGAAACTTATCTATCAGGTTCTGCTACACCCAATTAATGTGTAATCATACTGGGTGAATCTACAGGGCCTGTTCTCTCTCAGCCCTCTCCACAGCTAATGCCTTTGTTCAGGTCCACATTCTACACTAATGCCCATATTATGGCATGTACATTACTAACTGGTCTCCTGCCTACAGTCTTGCCACCTCTAATCTACCTTCTATGATGGGTTACCTTTGTAATATACAAATTTTATCATTCCATTCTGTTAAAATTAAAAAATGTCTGTCCTCATTGTACCATGATTTTATGACTAAAACACTCCTATTTTTTTAAACATGGGGGAGGGGGAGAGGCACATATTAGCCAACATTTTCAGACCTTCAACACCTCCCGCCTCTCCCTCTCCCCCTCCCACGTCACCACCCCACACTGCCACTGGAGTCAAAGAATTGTGAGAACCCTGCTGCACACTTCCTTGAAGAAGGAACACAGAATCTGTGACTAATTTTAATTTTTTCCCCCTCCCTCCTTTCGTTGTTAGAAAGGTCAGAAACAAATCAATACACACCCTAACGATGACATCACCACGAGAAGAGTTCACAGCCAGGGTTGAAGTGTTTTCCCCTTAATCACTCCTTTGTGCCCAGTGAAGCCATAACTCATGCAAATGCAGTAAGGCGTTCTGACACACCACATACCAGAACCTCCACGTGACACTGTGGCTGAAAATGTGGGGCGGGAGGGCAAAGGTCAGCCTGATCTCCCGACTGCAACCTTCCTTTCACTTTTCCAATCACACGCGGTCATTTCCTGAAAGCAGAGCATGGACTCTCTCACCTGGTGACCTCCTGCTGTAGCTGGGACACGGAAGGCACGTAGAACACCACTCCGAAGGAGACGGTGGGCTCCAGGGCGTACTTATCCAGCTGCTTCTTCAGAGGCTTTTCCAAATCCACCCACCGGCGCTGATTCTGCTTGTTGTAGTACCAGAGGCTGAAGTACGTGATCTGGAAAGAGGGAAGGTCACTGAAGGAGGCAGAAATGTACAAAAGGGTCTCTCTACTTCAATTGCTCTAATCCATGACCTGGGACCAAGTGACAGCCATCTCCTATTGTTTTACTTCTCAGAAAGGGACAATAGCAAAACCTGAAGGGGGAAAAATAAAAGAATTAAGACCTATCTATAGCTAGATACTGTATTCAGGGGAAAAAAGGTGAGAAGTCAATTACTCTTGCAGACTATTTTTTCAACCCTGCACCAAAAAAATGCCTTCATGGTCTAGACAGCAGAATGTACTGGGTGCTCTGAAATTTTACATACAGTTTTTAACAAAAACCATATGCTAAAAAATATTGAAATACTAAGTGTATTATAATTAATGTTTTATAATAAACATAACTGGGGGTCTACCTAGTACTAATCCATGACCTGGGACCAAGTGACAGCCATCTCCTATTGTTTTACTTCTCAGAAAGGGACAATAGCAAAACCTGAAGGGGGAAAAAAAAGAGTTAAGACCTATCTATAGCTAGGTACTCGTATTCAGGGGAAAAAAGGTGAGAAGTCAATTAGTCTTGCAGACTATTTCTTCAACCCTGCACCAAAAAAATGCCTTCATGGCCTAGACAGCAGAATGTACTGGGTGCTCTGAAATTTTACATACAGTTTTTAACAAAAACCATATGCTAAAAAATACTGAAATACTAAGTGTATTATAATTAATGTTTTATAATAAACATAACTGGGGGTCTACCTAGTAGAATTTTTTTTTAATTGATTTCAGAGAGAGGAAGGGAAAGGAAGAGAGAGGTAGAAACATCGATACCCGGGTTTACGCCCTGACTGGGAATCAAACTGACAACCTTGTAGTGCATGGGATGATGCTCAACCAACTAAGCCACACACCGGCTAGGCTACCTAGTAGAATTCTGAAGAGACAATGCTCATCCAACCTTTTGCTACTCTCAAATTTGGCTTCTATAAATAAACTAGAGGCCTGGTGCACGAATTCGTGCACAGGTGGGGTCCCTCGCCCTGGCAAACAATGGCGGTCTATGGTGGGGAGATGGCCAGAAGGGGGGAGGGACCATGGGAGATTGGCTGTGGGAGTGCACTGACCACCAGGAGGCAGCGCCTGCATTGAGCATCTGCCCCCTGGTGGTAAGTGCGCATCATAGCAACAGGTCGACCAGTTGTTCTGATTGTTTGGTCATAACGGTCACTTAGGCTTTTATATATATAGATAAGTCTGTGTAAGTATTCTAAATTCTAGTAATACTAGTGCAATTGCATAACTGCAACTCCTCTTTGCCTCCAAAAGTTCATTAGATACAAACTTAAAGCAACTGTAGGCCATGGAGATACATTACCTCTCTCTTTTTCTCTCTCTCTCCTCTCTTTCTCTCTCTCTCTCTCTCTCTCTCTCACACACACACACACACACACACACACACACACACACACAAAGTTATACCTAAAGCAGTAAAATAACTTGTTATTTTAAGTTATTTAAGTTACCCACGGGTTTGTTTTTTTTTAAATGCCCAGACATGTAGATCTCACTTGCTGTGTAACCAAACTGTTCAGGTAAATCAATACTAGCCCTGAGCATGGTCAACCTGAAAGGGCATTAATGCACGTAAGAGTTGAAAGGACAGCCTCGGGCCACTGCTAATATATACCTCTTCCCAATCAATTTACAGTCAAGGTCATTACAAAACTCACTGCTTTGTCCTAGGCTCTACAGAAACACTACCAAATAGAACCTTCTATGATGATGAAAATATTCTCTTACCTGCACTCTCCAATACAGCAGCCACTAGCCACATGTGGCTATTGAGCACTGGGAATGTAGCTAGTGCAGCTGAGGAACTGGATTTTTTAATGCTATTTAATCTTTTATGCAAAAGGGACTTTAATAAATTTTATTTTCCAAGAGCACTTAAGAAAACCCATATCTAAATCATACACAATAGTGAAAAACTGAAATCTTTCTCCCCAGGATCAGGAACATGTTCACCACTGTTATTCAACTGTACTGGAAATTCTCTCCAGGTAAGAAAATGAAATAAAGGCATCCAAACTGGAAAGAAGTAAAACTATCTCTATACACTGGAGACATGATCCTTTATTATTAAAAATATATATATCACCCTGGCCTGTGTGGCTCAGTTGGTGGTAGCTAGTTCAATTCCTGGTTAGGGCAGGTGTCTGGATTGGAGGTTCAATGCAGGAGACAGCCGATTGATGTTTCCCTCTCTCCATCTGCCTTCTCTCTCTAAAAAATATCAAGAAAAACATTTTTTTTAAATCCCAAAGATGCCCTCACCAAAACAAAACAAAACTACTAGAGCTAATAAATTCAACAAAATCGCAGGATGTAAGATCTCCAAGCAAAGATCAGTATAGATTCTATACACCGGGAATGAAAAATTCAAAAAGAAACTGAAGAAAGTATAAACATCTAGAAATAAATTTAACCATGGAGGTGAAAAGGCTTCTGTACTGAACAATACAAAACAATGCTGAAAGAAATTAAATTGAAAGACATACCATGTAAATGGATTGAACACTGAAGTTTGCTAAGATGACAAAACTCCCCAAAGTGATCTACAGATTCAAATGCAGTCCCTATCAAAATGCCAACAGCTACTTTCACAGAAATGGAAGAGCCAATTCTCAAATGCACATGGAATAGCCAAAACAATATTTAAAAAAGAACAAAGTTGGAGGACTCACACTTTCTGATTTTAAAACTTACTAGAAAGCTACCTTAATCAGAGCAGTAAGGTATTGGTATAAGAATGGGGTCCAGAAATGAAGCCACACATCTATGGTCAACTGATTTTAGACAAGAGTGCCAAAACCATTCAGTGGAGAAAGAACAGTCTCTTCAACAAATAGTCAACAACTGAAGTTAGGTCCCTACACTTCTCACCATGTATTAAAAGTAACTCAAACTGGATCAACAACCTAAATATAAGAACTATAAACTCTTTAGCAGAAAACATAGAGGTAAATCTTTATAACTTTAAAATAGATCCTCAGATAATGACACAGAAAGTTTGAGCAACAAAGAAAACAACAGATACATTTCACTTCATCAAAATTCAAAACTATGTGCATCAAAGGTCCAAATCAAGAAAGTAAAAAAGGCGCAAACTATATAGAATGGGAGAAGATATCCGCAAATCACATATCTAGTATCTAGAATATATAAAGAACTCTTGCACAACAAAAAGATAACTCAATTTTAAAAAAGGGCAAAGGGACTTGAAGAGATATTTACCCAAAGAACATATACAAATGGCCAAGTGCACATGAAACAAGCTTCATGTCATTAGTCACTACGCAAATATAACTCAGAACCACAATGAGATATTGGATGTGAAGAACCTGAAATCTTTATACATTGCCAGTGGGAATGTAAAATGGTTCAGCCACAATGGAAAATAGTTTGGTGGTTCCTCAAAAGTTAAACATATTAATCATCATATGAACCAGCAATTCCACTCCTAGATACATAACCAAAAGAACTGAAAACAGCCAAAACCAGTGTGGCTCAGTGGATAGAGCGTCGGCCTGCGGACTGAAAGGTCCCGGGTTCGATTCTGGTCAAGGGCATGTACCTTGGTTGCAGGCACATTCCCCGTAGGGGGGGTGCAGGGGGCAGCTGATTGATGTTTCGCTCTCATCAATGTTTCTAGCTCTCTATCCCTCTCCCTTCCTCTCGGTAAAAAATCAATAAAATATATATTTTAAAGAACTGAAAACAGATACTCAAATACATGTACAAGCATGCTCATACAAGGGCTATTTGCAATAGCCAGAAGATGGAAACAACTTAAATGTCCATCAGCAGAAGAAAGGATTCATAGATTTTGGAATATACAGATAATAGGACATTATTCAGCCATGAAAAAGCAGCACTGATACATACTACAGTGTGGATGATTTGCAAAAACATTATACTAAGAGAAAGAAGCCAGGTACAAAGGGTCACATATTGTATGATTCCATTTAAACAAAATATTCAGAATAGATAAATCCTGAGCAACAGAAACAGAAAGTAGACTGATGGCTTGGAGAGTGGGTTGGAAGAAAGGAGAGCAATTGATTAACCCGTGGAGGGTTTCCATTCAGGGTAACGAAATGTTTTGAAACTAGATAGAATAGGTATTGTGAATGCACTAAATCACTACATGGTTTATTTTTAAAACGTTAATTTTTTATGTGAATTTCATCTCGAAAAAGATTTTTTTTAAAGAACAGAAACACTAAATAAAAATAACAAACCACTAACAACTAAAATTAAGTATAGACTTTTTAAAACTTATAAATAGGTCAAATGCAGTGTGTTTGAAACAGTCTAAGGAAAAGAAATGAGCCAGAAATAGATGAGGCTAGCCATGAGTTAATTGGATTTTTTGCTTCCTAATATCTATCCTTTGGTCTTCCTCTATTTAAAGTTAAGATATACCAGAAACATTTTTTTTCCTTACAAAAACCTTAGTGCCCTAAATTTTGACTTTTACCAGTCATTACCTGGCCTAGGATAGTTGCCCAGAATCATGTGTCTTCTCTTCCTTGAATCCAAATCTTCTGGGCTATGCATGCCCTATAGTGTTTATGGGCTTGGTTTAACTGTAATTAACATGTTCCCAGGAACCAGCCTTTACTTATTGGCTCTCAGGTGATGCCTCTCATCACTCCATTATGCCCCAGGACCTTTCCTAGTAAGAATCCACATGGCTTCCCTTGCCCCACAGCTCTGTCTGCTCTCACTGATGACCAAAGCAAGCTGACTAGGCCTGTGGGAAACTCCAAGAGAATCTTCCAGCATCCTCAGAACACTTCTCAATGATCAGTCAATAGGTTTTTGTGCCAAAGCTGGTGGCTCGGTGGATAGAGCGTCAGCCTACGGACTGAGGGGTCCCGGGTTCAATTCTGGTCAAGGGCATGTACCTTGGTTGCGGGCACATTCCCAGTAGGAGGTGTGCAGGAGGC